ATATATATATATATATGAGGAGGGTTCAAACGACATTGGTGTAATTTTTACTAAATATTACATCATTCAATAACTTTATATTAAATGTGAATTTTATAAATCCAACTGTTAGATTGAAAGTTAAGAAATAACTAATAATATTTATAAAAAAAACTAAGAATTGAGTGGAGAAATACAGTTAAGAAATAGCAGTTATGAAGTTTGAGTTGATGAGGATAGTTATTGGTATTATGAAAGTGGGAGTGAAAGTGTGGGAGAGAGAAGGGAGAGGTTCAGGAGATAAAAAATAAGTGGGGATATGTTGGTCTTTTGAGTAGTTTGTATGTAGAGCAAAAATTTGTCTTATAGTTATTTGAGTAACAAAAAGCGAAGTTTTTGTCCTGTCCCATAGTCTTTAATATGTTCTGTCCCACGATACTTTTTTAAATCAAACATGAAATTAAAAAAATTGTTCTATCCTGACCCATATATTTTGACAAATCAAACGCACTCTATGCATGTGTTTGATCCTCTAAATAATAGAGGAGAGGATGGCACTAAAAATACTTGTTGCAAGTTCTATTTAAAAGTGGTCACCGACTCACAGTACACCACAAAAGACAAAGGGTAAAGCACAAGACAAATTTTTTTTTTTATTTTGTTACTTTTAAATCATATACTCCTCCGTCCCATAATACGTGTTGTCTTAGGTTATTTTACACAAAAAAAAATGCTAATGAATAAGATAAAAGAGAATAATGATTTACAAAGGTAACCTTATGTTTAATCTTTTTTGCTAGAAATGATGTAACACAAACCATTTTCTTAATAATATTATTATGGGTATAAATGAAAAAGAGGTAATTAATATTACATTAAAAAGCTAACATGACACTTATTTTTTCCTTTTCATGCAACACTTATTATGGGATGAAAGGAGTACTTTATATTAGCTCTTAACTTTTTCATTTATAGTAGATGGAGCTTGTAATGAGTGGAAACTACTATCACTTTATATTAGGATTCTAGAATCTATATCATATTATGAGTTTTGTTTGTTTAGTAGTCATGATAGACTATGTCACGAAGGAGTGGGCCAGTGATAAGAGACTATGAGATTGATTTGCATGAGGTCCTAGGCAAGGTTGCCAACATCATGATCCTACCCAAGTTAAGCCATTTGGGAGGGGTTAGGGTTTGAGACAGTAAAATGTGTGATTGTAACATAGATTGTTAGAACATATAAAAAATGTAAAACTATTTTTAACATGGAAAATATGATAATCTAACTAACAAATACATGCATTAATGCCACAATTCAATAATTTTGCTTGTCTAGTTATTAATTATTAATGTCTCAATCGATTTTATATTTGATAATTAATCTGAAGTCAAAAGAGAGAAAAAAAGAAGATAACTGAGAAGCTAGTCCTTTATGTTTCAAATTTTAAATGAAGACCCAAAAGAAGCCCAAAATGGTTGGGAAGGAGAATGGAGTCAAAATGATTGGGAGAGTGTTGCACATCCCTGGAGAAAATATTGGTCTTCTTTCAGGTTGCATAACACAATCTTGGTCTTCTTGAATAAGATTTGATGGTCTCACAAGCAATCCTGGTAATCCTACTCGAACTCTGCAGACGAATGATCCTGGATATAAACAAGCATGGAAGAAGCTAGAATCTTGTTGGATCATAAGATACTATTACTATAATTGTGATTTCCACAACACTGGTCTTAGGTTCAAATTTCTGACTCTATTATAGCCCCCAAATATAGTTGTACCAGGATAGGCTTGTGGTAGTACTACTACAGTAGTATTTAATTGTTTGTAGGTATAATTTGGTATCAATGCTTTTTATTGTATAGCATTTCATGTTAATCTAATCCCATATTATTCAAAATATTTTATTAACATAAGTGATATGTGAAGTTTTAGTTTGTTTTTATTGGGAGCTTCTCTTAGTTATTTGGTTTGCTCAACTTTTTGGCATATATTTTTCAGAGTCGGAAGAAAAATGAAGATTCTTTGGTTGTGAAGAGAAAGAGTACATCTGACACAGAAGATGATGAGTCAGAAGAAGAGAAAGAAGATAAAGATGAAGAAAGTGAAGAGGAAAATGAAAATGAAAATGGTGTTGCTGAAAAATCTGAGGATGAAACACCAGAGAAATTTGAAAGTGAAGATAAAAGTGATTCTGGGAGTGAATCTGAAGATACAAAGGAAAAGAAAAAACCTTCTAAAACATCATCCACAAAGAAAGAATCTGCTAAGAAAAGTAAAATTGTGAAAAATACAGTTACAACTAAGTCACGCACACCACCAAAAAGAACACTTAAGAAATCATCGTTCAACCTCTCAAAGTCTGATGATGATAGTGATGAAAGTCCCAATCCAAAGGTCTTTTCAAGGAAGAAGAAAAGTGAGAAAGTAGGAAAGCAGAAGACGTCAACACCAACTAAGTCTGCCTCCAAAGAGAAAACTGGTAGATATTTTTAGTTCTCCTTTGCTGTTATTATTATTTCATTTAAATATCTTCCGATTTGAATGCATGTTGTGTTCTAGTAAAAAAATACTTTTTGGCTGAAAACAATTATTCAGGTATTGCTAGTCAGCACATTTATTTTTCCATTTCCATAAGTTTAAATGGGAATGGTTTTGTAATTGGAAAACTGATAATGATTTTGGTGTAATCATCTTCATCCCATGTACAATATAAAACATCTTTCTGTTGTATCAAGCAGAAAAGGTTACAAAAGGAAAAGGCAAGAAGAAAGAGAAGCCAAGCCCCGCTGATAATCAGTTGCGTGATGCAATATGTGAAATTCTTAAAGAAGTTGACTTCAATACGGTAAGATGTTGGAATAAATTTTACATAATTCAGCTACTAGATGAAATTTTTTGTTTGATACATAGCTAAACCAGTGGAACTGCAATTTTGTTAAAACTCGAATTTTAGGTGGTAAAAAGCTAACCAGAGAATTAACTGAATTTAATACTTGACGTGATAAGATTAGAACAATTACATTAAATAAAAGGCTGGGGTGGCACCTATTATAGATAAAATGGTTGAAACTTGCAATAGGTGGTTTGAGCATATGGTGAGAAGACTTGTAGAAGCTCCAATAAGGGGAGTATATCAGATGGAGGCTTTCCCAATTGCTAGGGGTAGAGGGAGATCCAGAAAAACTATAGGTGAAACAATTAAGGGTTTGAAGGTCAATTGCTATGGATATGGGCATGACCCAGTATTTTTGATGCTTTAGTAATTGACATAATCTAACAAGTCAGCGATATGGATGATTAAACACTTGCAGTAAGTCAGGAATGTGGCAGCAGATTAGCTACATACGAAACCTTGTAATATTTTTAGCATCTGTACAAGTCCTTCATTTGCTAGTGGAATTCGTAGAATTCTTAGATGTAATATTGAATATTCCAATTATGATGCTGTTGCTAGTAAGGACTGCTTTCTCATTGTTTCCGATCATCTTATGGCTATAAAAAGCTAGTGTTTATGGCCATGAACCAGACAAAGTCAATGTTGTACTTAGTATCTACTGAATATTCTGTTCTTTTCTGAAATTGAAAGCCTTTTTTCTCTTTTGCAGGCCACATTTACTGACATTCTGAAGCAACTTGGTATGGATCCTTTTCACTTCGTTTTTTACTCAAACACTGAAACACAATTATAATTATACCTTTTTCTCAATTGCAACCATGAGATAGTGCTACTGTTGTGCCTTTAAGAACAAGTTCTTTTGTATGCATCTGTTTCTGTTTTCTGAATCATCAAGTGACATGTATTATCCTCAAACCTGAATGTCAATACATAGGACTAGAGGAGCTCTTTCCCTTGAATGATATAGGATATTTAGTCTTATCATTTACAATTTACAAATATGAACATTTGCATGAATTTGACAATTCATGAAAATGAGAAATATTACATCATAACTAAATTAGAAAACTGCTCTTCATTTTTCAGCTAAACAATTTGATATGGATCTCACCCCAAGAAAGGCATCTATAAAGATCATGATTCAGGAGGAGCTGACAAAACTAGCGGACGAAGCAGATGATGATGAAGGAGAAGAGGATGCTGATGCCCCATCTACAGGCCAGGAGGTTGAAGTCTGATTGAGTAGACCTGACTGCTTGGAGATAGGCTTTAGCAATGTATACTATAACCCCAGTTATGTATACTTCATCTGTACACTTTGTTTAGTGGAAGTGCCTGTAACTTATTCTTCGCAACCATCCAATCTGAAGTGAACAAACTTGTATTTTGTTAATTTAGGCTTTTGGTGGGCTGCCAGTGTGCAGCATCTTGTTTAGACATCAACAGAATTTGTAGGGTTTATACTGTTCATGAATACTACTGACCAAAACTACAATAGTTTCGAGTTTCAACAATCTGTCTAGTTTAATAAATATTGACATTTAAAGTTGTTTCCTTTCTGTGCATGCTGATAACTAGCACCCTTGATGGTTGATCAAGTCTTTATCTTTCTAATCTTGATATTTTGTTGCTGCATCATTTATGTCATGGTTGTGTCAACATCTGGTGTGACAATATGACTCGTTCATTAGCAGTGGCTGCAATACATGCAACGATAGAGCGATGATCCCCATTTCTTAAGTGTCTTCTTAAATAGCTCTAATTATTCCATGTTGTATGCTTCGTTACAATGTCAATAGAGTGATTTGAACAATGCAAGCTAGGACATTGGTCTAATAATTTTAAATTTTCACGTTAGTCTTTAAAATTTACAAATGTCAGTCATGCAAGGAACAATACGATGATTCCCATTTCTCAAGTGTCTTACGATCGCTTTAATCATTTCATATGCATCGTTACAATTGCAAAGGAGTGAACCCCGAATTTATATTGAACAATGTAAAATAGGGTATTAGTCTAATAATTTAAAATCTACAAAAATCTGTCATGCAAAGAGAATTATGTATGCAAGTGCCTTTGTGGTTTGAAAAGGGTGGTTTGATAAAAATTTGACCGTTATTAGTGAAGATTGAAGAACACATTCAATGATTCAAGGAATCGTGAATTTGGTCAGGTCTGACGTAAATTGTTGGAGGGCATTACTTCAAATGTAAGTGGAGCAAGTCAAAAAGGTTCCTGGTTTCAAGCTTTCTCCACTAAGACTAGTGGAACACCAAGAAAATCTAATATTAGAGACAAACGCGATTTAGATAATGATTTTGATCAAGATTTAAGGTGTCTAGTTGACCAAGTGGGGACATTTAGAAGTAGAATTGTTTTACACCCATTTGATGCATTAAAAACGAGATGGTTGAAAATAAAATAATATTCTCACTTTACCGTACAAATTTTAATAATTTATGAAAATAATTTAGTATCATATACAAGCAGGAATAAATGTTAAATAGAAATTCTCCTTGTGTAAAAAAATGAGAAAAAAAAATTGTTTTCAATATCTTCCCCGTTTTCTACCAAATACACGTTCTAGTTAAAAACACAAGTTGGCCATTTGCGAACAGAAGATGGCAGACAATATTCATTTTGTGGATGACATTCTAATAGTTAATCAATATAAATATTTCTGCTTAGATAAACTAAAATAAAATATTTAAAAATACTAAAAATTATAAAGTTGACATTTCCATGCATAAGAAAAGGGTATATGTAAATAGGAATCCTCTTGTGTTTACGTGGTAACTAAAGAGAGGCGAGAAATATAGGTTGAAAAAAATAGATTTTAGAGTGACAAAAGAAGTTTAAATGCAATGAATATCAAAGAAATTTACATGTGGATCCTACTGAGGTCTGAGGGTACACGAGAAGGACTTCGATCGTTTATTGCACTCTGTCTCTGTATGTCCCTCTTCGACCCCTTTATCTATCCATTGTTTTAATCTTTCTATCATTTGTTCCTCTATTATTGTCTTTAAACTTTTTGTTCTTTTTGCGCGTATGTATATATGTAAGAGGGCTAGAGAGGATCTAATTTGATAAGAAAATAAGTGAATGTGAGGTTTTAGATTTTAGAGTGATGATTTGTGTCTCTACTAATATATATAATTTTGGGAATATAACACTCCTCATGTATGTTTAAATGATACATTTTTTCTCTAATTTTTAAAAATTATTCACATTCTTTAGAATACGTTTATTAATTAAAATAAGAAAATGAGAAAAATAAAAGATAATTCATATTTTATTAATCATATATTTGTCTATTATTCATTTTTAAATTACATATAATGATCTGTCTTCTTTATGACATTTTTTTATTGTTCTTCCATTTTGAAAATAAAATTTTCAATCACTTCTTTTTTTCAAATTATTTCTTGAAGTTAATATAATTTTTAAATCACAATGTGTATGATATCTAAGATATAATTTGAGAGTTAAAATTAAGTAAGAGATCAAGTCTTGTTTAATTGCTGACACTTATATTAATAATTTGTTCACTCTTAATAATGAACAAATGATGTTATATTTTATTAGGAGTTGTATATATCATAGATAAATAAATGAGAAAAGTTGGTATTCACTAAAAAAACTAAGAAGGAGATTGTGTCATTTAAAAATAGTTAATCATCTATACATTGCTAGTGTAAAGTTTTTTTACACTGACAGTCAATTAGAGCCGTTAATAGTGCCTTTTCATCTGCTCATTTAGTTAAATTAAAATAAAAAATACACTAATAACAGCTCTGATTGACTTCTAGTGTAAAAACCTTTACACGGACAGTGTATAAGTGATTAACTCATTTAAAAATACCTCATAAGAGGTCAATGTAATTTTTCCTATAACTTTTTTAGTGGTAAAGTAAAATAAATTCCATTTAATAAAAAATATTAAGTCTAGCTATACCTACTCCGTTCAATAACTCATGTTCTACGTCATATTTTAACGATTTAACCATTAAATTTAAAGTTCTTAATGCATAAGTCAAGTCTGCAAAATTATTCAAAATTTAAAAGCATTTGATATTTCATTTCATTAATTCAAATTGATGGATAATCATAAAATTATTTTATACGTTGATTTAAATTAATGAAATGAAGTATCAAATAGTTTTAAATTTTTTTTAAAAATTTGCAAACTTAATCTATGTATTAAGAACTTTAAATTTAAAGGTTGAATTTTTAAAATTTGATATAAAACATGAGTTATTAAACAGAATAAGTCTATTTAGACTTACTTTTAAAATAAATTGATGCCTCCTCAATATATATATATATATATATATATATAATCATTTATTAGTGTAATATATTATACCGTTAATATAAGTATACATGTTTAAACAAATAGCTTAATTTTCATTACTTAAATGTTTTTCTAATAAGTAGAAATCTAACAACCAACTACTAGAAAATCACAGTATTTTTAGGATGCCTATAAGAATTTGACTTGGAGCAGCTAAAATTTTGCGGCTTTCAGCAAATTAAACATCATTTTCAGTGTTAACACTTTTGAATGCAGTTTTGCAAAATTGTCTGCCGTTTAATTTGCATTTAAAACTAAAACTATTTATTTATAATTACTAAAATATAATTCATTTTAACAATATTTTAAATAAGTACATAAAAAATTAATTATTTCAAAATAAATTCTATTTAAAAATATTTTTTTGGTCAATTATAGTATAATGCTGAAAAAAAAAATCGTACCGGAGTTAGCTAATTAACAAAGGTTGATGACATACCTTGAGAAAGAGGAGAGAAGTGCCCTCCACACCGAGCGGGACGGAAAGACGAAAACTTTAATACTTATATATAAATTTATAGTAATAAATACATAATCTTATATTTTTTAAAATAAAAATATATATTATAATTGTTTTATATGAGATTTCATATTTTAAAAATATTAAATATTTTTTTTTTATTTTCAACATCTTCGATTTTTTTATATAAATAACTAAGTAATCATTTAATTATTCCTTTCTCGCATTAAAATTTTATTTTTTTAGAAAAGTATAATATGAACTTGAGTAAGCTATCATCTCTTAACTAAATTTACTTAACTATAATTAACATGATCCACACACATGAATTTACTAATTTACACCCACTTAATTTTTTAAAGGAGTCAATTAGTGAGATATATTTGGATACATTTTAAAAATATTATAATTATAACTTATTAATATACTCCTAAAATGAAGTGAGCTTATGTTAACAAATTTCACAAACATTTGATAATTAAGATCCATTTATTTTTAAAGAAAGAGTATGTTTACAAGATGTATATTTGTTTCAAAAAAAATACACTTTAAAAAATAATATATTAATTTTTTTTTACTTTTTTTACAACATAAAAACACAAGAGACAATGAAAACACTTTATTTTTAACGTGATAAGTGTTATATTTTATTATAATATGTATATATAAAAAATTGACATACAAAATTTATTAGTGCACTAGTGGAAAAAAGACTTTTAAAATTGGTTATTTTTTACTTTTAAAATCGGTTCTTGAACCGATTTTAAAAGAGTCGATTTTAAAAAGTGGGACTTTTAACATCGGTCAATAGTTTAGAACGGTCCGTTCCGGACTACTAAATCACCCATGACCTTCTAAAATACTTACTACGTTACAACTACTTCATTATATTACGAAAAGTGAGAGTTTTTGAGCATTACTATTCAACCCTCCCTTCTAGTATTCCTCTTTTCTCCACACACACCAAAACAACACTAGAGGAAAGTTTAAAAGACAAGCAACAAAGATACAATTAAAATAGCTAAACTCTAATAGGAAGTAGGCGTGACAAACTTCAGTTATTTACAATAATTATACAAGCACAAATTAAAGCATGACTTGGAAGCTAAGACATCAAAAGAGTAATTATAGGATTGGTTCTAAATTTAGATTACAAAAACAATAAAGACTCAAATATACTTCCAAATTAAATACAAATTCACATGAAATAAATGCTCCTCATATTTTTTTTATCTCTAATATTTTTTTTCTTTTTCTTGTATTTTTTTCTCTTTTATTTCTTTTATCTTTTTTTATTCACTTTTGTTTTTCATTATTTTGGAGCTATTTTGTGACTACTTTATCTTTGTTCTAGTGGTTGTACTATTGTCATAAAATGTTTCAAAACAAGAATACAAAATTGTAAAAAAAAATTTAGAAGTAGAGAAAATTCAAGAGGACTCCAAAAATTGGTGAAATTTTGACTACTACTCTTATTTTTTATTAGGTCTTTGATTTTTAAACTTTTTGAACTTCAAAGTGAGACAAATGTAATGTAACTGTAGCATAAAGAGATTTTAATGTTTCACCAAAGTGTTTTTAATGTTTCACCAAAGTTTGAAATGAATTTGAATCACAAAATATTCAAGGAAACAAGAAATAGTGAAAACTACAAGACATATGAAAACCTAACTCTACTAAGAGAAAGTCAATGATCTAATAACATACAAGAACTAAAAGATTATAAACCAAAAAGTA